AACAGCATATATCTTAAGGAATTTAGTTATCTCATTTTGTGAGGAGGCCTTTTTGTTGTCAATTTTAACTATCATTGAACTTTGACTGACATACAAACCGTCAAAATTGCTGGCAAAGAACAGAAAACCCGCTGAATAAACATTATTTCCATAAAACATGTAGAATGAAAGAGTCTAAATCACAATCAAATTTAATTTTTATGATAAATAAACATAATTACAAATTTGTAAGCTTCAAATAAACAACGTGGAATTATTTTTATAAAACGAATGTGTACATTTATACTCCAACTTTTCAAAAAAAAACTTTCTATGTTACAAATAAGTTCATACTCCATTAACTCTGATTCTAATAAAAAAATTCTCTGAAACTGACATTTTCAAGATGCTTGATTGACAACATATTTGTTACGTTTTGAGGACGTGTTTTTCAACAAACAATCGGCATTCCCTTGGGAACCAACTGTGCTCCTCTTCTTGCCGACTTGTTCCTTTATTCATATGAGGCTGAATTCACACAGGAACTTCTAAGAAGAAAGAAAAAAAGTTAGCAGTATTCTTTAACTTCACTTTCTGCTATAAAGATGATGTTCTCTCACTAAATAATTCATTAAAATTTCGGTGACTATGTTGTACGCATCTATCCCATCGAACTTGAGATTAAGGATACAGCAGATACAGTTAAGTCTGCCTCATATCTTGACTTACATCTAAAAATTGACAATGAGGGTCGGTTGAAAATAGAATTTTAGGAAAAAAGAGAGGATTTCATCTTTCCAATTGTGAACTTTTTATTTCTATGTAGCAACATTCGAGCAGCACCTGCATACGAAGTATATTTCACCCTGCTAAAATGATATTCCAGGGCTTGTCTTTCCTATCATGATTTCCTTGATAAATGGTGCTGCTCTCAAGAAAACTACTGAACCAAGAGTTCCAAGTTGAAATCATCCCTTCGTAAATTTTACGCACGCCATCACCAGTTGGATGACAACAGATATGTTCAAATTGTCGTAACTACAGTCCCGTCCCCTTGTCCCCGAATGTGACCTACCGAATAAGACTTATCACCGGGTTTGTACTAACAGGAGCAACACGACGAGTGCCACATGTGGAGCAAGATCTGCTTAGCCTTCCGGAGCACCTGAGATCATCCCCAGTTTTTGGTTGGGTTCATGTTGCTCAGTCTTTAGTTTTCTATGTTGAATTGTGTGTACTGTGTACTTTTGTTTGTCTGTTGGTCTTTTTCGTGTTTAGTCATGGCGTGGTCAGTTTATTTTCGACTTATAAGTTTGAATGCCGCTTTGGTATCTATCGTCTCTATTTTACATCTGACCAATAAATGTTCTGCACAAAAACTATTTGAGATATATATTGCACCGTTATTAACCTGTAAGTTATCAGGAAATACATTCTTAAAGAACAGACTATCACAAAAGAGTAAGGAAAGATCTTCGAATAATTCCTTTTTTAACCGACTCCCAATGTCCAATGAAACAGACCCAGATGCATCAGGTTCTTCTGAATGTTCAGGGGAATTCTCATTATGGTTTCTGTTTTCTGTTTATGATTTACATAATTTTATGTTTTGTTTGTTTATTTGTTTTTGTTTTGAATTAAAAACAACACCTGTAAAATCCAATGAATAAAAATTTATTTTTAAACAGCTTAAATGTAACATCTTCCGGAGCTAGTAATTTAGGGTTGAGTAGCTCACGCCAAAGTATATAAACGAGATTTTCTGGCAGGATTGGTCATTATTCTTAAATTGAAAATTGAAATACAATCTACTAAATGAAAATCAATACTTTTATTCTAGTCATCGGTCATTTACCATACTTTTCTAATTAAGCAATCACCCCTTACATCAAAATCAACTCTCAAATACATAGAACAATATATCTACTATGATGTCGGCTATTAATATCAAAGTGTAGTTTCCGATGATATCATTAGTTTGAATACTGTAAGCCCTCTTCGGTCATTTCGAATAATTGATTTCTCCCTTTTGTCTTGCAACAGACTTTTTTTTTAGTTGAGAATCAGGATACAATATTACAACATAATTGCATTTCTTCTTGTTCTAGTGTTTCAATCTTATCAATGGATTAAAGAATTGTTTTTGTCTAAAATATTTAAAGAATATTTAAGATGAAAAAATCGTATAGAAAACCCTCTATTGACACCAATACACGATTACTATCAATTGATGTTTTAACAAACTGTAGTTGGCATTATAATCGGGATAAATAATGACCTTACACAGGATATTATTTCGTTCTTTGAAACACTTTCATTAAAACTTGATAACGTTCGGGTAGTTTATTCAAAAGAAAGACATGTCGTTCTGGAATAAATTAATTACATATATGAATACCAATATATAAAGATTATGTCATGGCCAATTCCATTTCGGCCTCAGTATTAACCCGATATATGATTGAGGAATTATACAAGAACATATTTTTTTTCGTCAAAATCTTGAAATAAGATAACTAGACGTTTGTGCATCCAATTACGGAAATGAACTAAAATAATTTCAGTGACTTCCGGGCATGTAATTTTGTAGCTGGTTCTGGCAACGTTTCAAGTTTAAATCACTGAAATGTTGGCTTCTTTACGTTGTAGCCGTTTCCAAAGTACTTTAAAATACTGTTTGTCTTTTGGACGTTGTTTCGGTTTGTTTGATACCGCATTGTCAGGTTTTTTTTCGAGTTATCATTTTGAATATCCCTCTGGTATATTTCGCCTCTCATTTTTAATAGAGAAAAAGATGAATGATTAAAAAATAACAAAAATTTACGGTGATATTCATTTCTATTTTAAACACACGTCATATACAGTAAACCCAATATGTGTCAGATTCATATTGTGCATTGTAAAAATTTACGCATTGGTCAAAGTGAAACAAGAATGAAAATCATTACATTTTAAACTGTTTGTCTAAGAACCGTTCATTTTTTACTAGCAACACATCTGATGCACAAAAGCACAGGAAATGGCGTCAGAACCAAATTTCAGTTCCTTGCTTTGCAAATTTTGACAACATATTTCAAAGAAGAAATGAATGTCAGTTAAATATACTTAGAAGTGAGAAACCTTACCTATTGGGTTTCTCTGTACTACGTCAGTTACAATAACAAATGCAAAAACTAGTTTATATAGTAAAACAGGAAAATCAATTCATCAAGATGTGTTGATACAAATTTTAATTTATTCACATGGGAAATTCTTGTCAAATTTTACAATCATTAAGTATGAGTACAAGCTTTTTCACACCAACTGTTATGTCAGCTGGTGCTCTTGTAATTTGTAATATAAATATTCAATCATTAAGGTAAAATGTAAAATTCTTTTAAAAAAAAGGTGTTAATAACAGCTGATGCTATAACATCAAGAGTATCATTCTGAATTTAATGGATTTTTTAAAATGTTAATCTACATGTTTTACCCATTTTTCACAATGTATTAAAAACCGTGAGGAATTTGACCAGGACTGCTGTACTAGTTAATATATAATAGGTTTATAAAATTAAGAATAACTAAGTTTATGAAATTAAGAATAACATGAATAATGTAATTTTTACAGACTTTTTTTTCATTTTAGTGAGAAAAAATTATTCTTATATATTTTGGTAAACGTCTCCTTTTTCTTCTGAAAAACTTCCAGTACTATGCTGCACAGTACTTTTAAGCTGAGAAACGAGATGGAGCTGAAGGTTTTTTTATGATAAGGATAAAAAGAAATAAGTTTTATTGCATTAAACATTTTCCTTTTTCAAATGGCAAAATCAAAGCTCAAACACAGGAAACGAATAGGAAACAACTGTCATATTCCTGACTTGGTACAGGCATTTAATCATATAAAAAATGGTGGATTAAACCTGGTTTTATAATAAGCTAAATCTTTCACTTGTATGACAGACATATAGAATTCCATCACATTGACAACAATGTGTTAAAGTATTAAAGTAATTATACCAGACGGATCTTATATCCCGTTTTAAAAATTGCAGTGGAAATATCATCACCCTGAGTTATTTGATATCACTGTAACTAGTTTTCTATGAGCAATTTCTTAATTTTTACCAATTGATTTTATCTAAAAAGGAAGGCGGCATTTCTTGGTCTTAATATAATTACATAATTGTAAATCAATGTTCTTTTATTGTTCTCCATGATTATTTGTGATTTTTATTGATTTTTATTGATTTTTATTGTAAAATTCTTCCTGTACATGGTATACAATAACTCAATGGTTATATTCCCCATAGTAAAGAATAATAAAAAAGCCATCCCGTTTTGTCTACAATAATTAACACAATTACCATAGGTCACCTAAATATATTTACAGAACTGTGTTCAATTCACACAAATGGTGATCTTTTATTATATCAAAGACGAATTATTTGGTTCCGTCATATACTTCCATTTTGTGTGAAAACAACCCATGCCACATGAGAGCAACCTATGCAGTACGAAATACTATTAAAGGTGTATATCAATCTACCTAATTAATCAACACTATTTTTTTCACACTGTTCGTTTACATGTGCAATCGATAATGCTTTTTAAATTTTTTGTTATTCATTTGAAGAAAGAATTTGGCAGAAAATAGAATAAAATTTAAGTCTTTTAATTAGGACTGATGAGCAAAAAGTAAAATGACAAAAATACCAAACTCCAAGAAAAATGCAAAACGAAAAGTCCCTTGTCAAATGGCAAAATCAGAAGCTCAAACACATCAAACGAATGGAACTCCACATTACTTAAACAATATTTTTATCGGAGGAAAGAAAAATGTCATGTATGTATCTTGTTAGAGACTAATTCAATTTGTTCTACCTTTCTAAACCTAACCTGACAAATGAATGATTTTTCATCTGTAAGTTGAATGAAAATTTCCCAGGTATCAACAGAAAAGTAGTATTCATGCCGATACATAATGGCTTGCTAACGGACTGGTATATTCATATAAATTTAGGACTTTATTGTTTTGTAGTTCAAAGATGACTTTACGACAATACTTCAGATTGATTTTCTGTCTAATAGGATTCAACGCCAGAGGAGAGCCAGGTTATTATGAATAATATTTTCCTGTACAGATTCGTGATACATAAAAAAACAAAACAAAACCGGAACTACCAACAATTTTCGGTAGTATAACAGACCACATTAACCACCACAACTGACATCTTTATAAAAGTAGTCGTACTATTATAGGCAACTGTATTCAACCGTTGTGCAAATCTCATAAATCAATTACGAATTGCAAAGCAATATGAATAAGTATGGGAAATGCATGAATCCCGAAAAAGCGTGACAGGTAGCGTCGACAGGGTACGTGTTTCCGGATATATATGCAGCACCGCCTTGCAATTCTACATTCAGTCAACATTTTATAATCGGGATTAGGACATAAACCGTAAAATTAAAGTTTACGTTTAGAGGTCATTCCCGGTTTGTCATTTTAAATAATGTGTATTAAAAGTGAAACGCATAATGAAAAACCAGCACGGTACTGACAACATTTTGATGAAATTGGAGCAATGTTTGATTGAATTTTATTCATGCATACCAAGTAGCAACAAAGAATGGGTGTAACAGATTTTTGCATTCATTCTGTCTGAACATTGCTGTCGATTTGAATTTAATCGTAAGCTTATTACAAAATTGTTTATTTTATTTCAGTCTATTTCAAGATTTACTATAAACTTAAATGCACATCTTTTACTTACAAACTCTAACCTCACTTTACATATCAGACGCCTACCTGTTTACAACTGTTCACATATGTCAAGATAAAGGATACTATTGTGTACCATAAAAATAAAAATGCCTTCATGTCAATGTACTTTAAACGGGCTATGTCAAAGACTTTAATAAAATTTTGAAATTAAATTTGGCTCGTTGAACATGTTGATCTCTAACGAAAAAATAAAAAAAATAATGAATTGATCTCTTTTTTTTCGTAAAAATTACTAAATGAATGTAAATATTTGTACTGAAAGCACAAGAAATCGGCGGAAAAATGTTTTTCAATTTGTTTTAAAATCATTAAATCTTCAATTATCAAGACATTGATTTCTCTTGAATAAGGATATGATGTTGATATATACATTTCCGTTTGATTGATATAAAATAGTAATCGGGTGGCCGACGTCATTTTTTGTGTATTAACAAATCTGTTACCTAGCTGGTAGTATATTATTACAGCAAAAATTGACATCTGACGGCTTACAAGGCGATGAAATTACGCCTTATTCGACGTTTAGAATTATGTATTCACCTTAAACATTACTTTCAATGATGTGCACCATCCAATACGAAATCAGTGACCCTATTGTTATTTGACATTAATTTAGTGAAATGAAAATTTATTTATCAGCAACATATTAATTTCAAAGAAAAAATCTGTGTCTTGGTAAATTCGAATTTGAAAGTTTTAAGACAAATTTAAGAACGTTTTCGTCGATTTAATGTGCTTGTTACAAAAAAGTGTATATATTTTCAAAGGTTTAATTCAGTAATATTTCAGAAAATAACACAGATAATATTTCATTTTTTCGAGCCAAAAGTGTAACCAAATTGATCAAATGTTTTTTTCATTAATGATATTTGTGTTATTTCAGTGTCTTTAAGTATGAAAACCAATACGGTTTCTAATGATAGAGATATAATATTGACTTGTACATTCGGTGGGATAAAGACCATCGACATAAAAACAATGAGACAGTGGTCCATGGGAGATGATGACGAACTTTTGTGCTACAACGGCCGAAAAAGTAATAAAACAAAGTACGAAGAAAAGGTTTTTCCAATGAATGAATTTAGTCTTACCATATGCAATGTAACAGAATCGGATCTCAACGTAGTTTACAAAATGTCGTTATGGATTTGATGCAGCAAGTAAATTAATTGAAACAGATGAACCTCAAATATTTTGTAAGTATGGGGGCTCATATGTAAAAATATCGAAATGGATAAGCTTGATTAGATATTTCTTGTATAACAGGTATAACATGATGTGACAAAAAGTAAGTTTAGTGAGGGGAAATAACTTCTGACTTTAATATTATTTATCAGTTCAGGTTATTTTTATTAGAATTAGAGTAGAGACTATTTATACACTATTTTGAATTGCTAGTAACTTTTACAAACTTCATCAACAAATGTTTTTTGAAGAATATCGTCTGCAAATTGTTAACATGAATTTTACAACCTCTGAGAGTAATTTGTCTAGGTTAATAGTTTCCTTAAATTTTATTTTTATCATTACTGAAGTCAAGGAAATTTCAAATCGTAGTCTGCATCGCAGCTTGTTGATAAATTACTTTTATTGCTTTAGTGGTTTAGGTTTAATAGTAGCGTAAAATTAGGAATTTATTATCCCAGACTGTAGCATGTCCAATTAGTATGATTTTGTTATTCGAAGAAGAAACATCGACATTTTATGATAAATAATGTGAACAGTTGAACAAGGATTATCATCTATATATTGCAAATATTAAACGTAGATTAGAGAATATTCGTTTTTTGTGAGTAGCCAGATCGATTACGGATATATTGTAAATGGTATAACATTGTCGTCGAACTCCAAGTCCAAAACCGTCAAACTTAATATCGAACTTTATTCCACTGCAATCGTATCTCTGCAACATTTTTGTTAGCAGAGCGTGGTTTTATGAACTTTAAATCGTAATCGTAAAAGTAAACAAAATGAGTATTTGGGACTTGGAAATAGAAACCGAGGCATTACAGGGAGAAAAATGGACGATATCGTTATAGGTAAACAAGACAAAAGTGTAGAATTAGAAGATTTATAGAAGGATAAAGCGAACGAGAAATCGGCCTTTACGAAAACTAGACATACATTACTTCAGATTCTTGATGAAGATTCCCTAGACCGTAAAGAAATTAACAAAATTCAGGAGAAACTGATAAATGATGAAGAAAAGGCAATGAATAAAATGGGAAATATCTATGATGAATGTAAGAACAGGAATGATATAGAAAATATGAAGAAAACGACAAATGAAATGGAACAAAAGGAAAGTAAATTTACGGACGCAGAAAACGAGTGTCAGGATTGTTTAATCGAGAGCAAGGATGAATCAAGCGTTGCTTTGAGTGCATCGGAAGAAGCATGGCGAGCTAAGGAGAATTCCAGACATAAAGCAAAGAGTAAACCTGTTAATGAAGAAAAAGAAGTTGAAGTTAAACCTGATCAACTAAATACATGTACATTTGGAAATAAAGATTTGACTGTATCAACAGATGTTGGAAAAACTACGAAAGAAGGAAAAAACAGCAAGTGGGTTGATGAAAAGAACTTTAGTTCAGAATTAGGACAGGTTATGTGGAAGCAGTTAAAAAGAGTTTCGACACCGATATTCACAGGAAATAAAAAGAACTATCAGAGCTTGAAAGCTGCGTTCTTAGCATATATTGATCAAGCACCGGCAACAAAGGAATATACATTATTATAGTTGAGACAATATGTGGAAGGTGAAGCTCTACAAGTAATCGAAAATTTGGGACATTCAGCAGAAGCATACGAAGCCGTAAAGGAACGTTTAGAAAGAAAGTACGGAGGAAAAAGGCGACAAATTACTTTGTACTAGAAAATTTTAAACCTATGAGAGAAGGATTCGCCAAAGACAACGAAAAACTCGCAGATTTACAGAATAAAGCGGTTGTGAAATTGAAAAAAAGCAGGTCCATTTGAGGAGCTAAAGAATGATTCTTTGTACAACAAATTGCAGCTTAAGATGACAGAATCTATGTTGTCAAGGTACTATCGTTGGATATTCGAAACCGGAAAAATATAATCAGTTGAGTTTCTACGGGAGTGGATTTTACAGGAGTCAGATTTTCAAACTAAAGCATCAGAAACAATAAACGGATTAAGTGCGAACACAAGTAGCAATTCACAGAGGAATTTTAAGGGAAATCATAGGAATGGATTTAGAACATTTTTTGGAGAATTGCAAAGTGAAACCAAAACCGGAAACAGAGAAACAATGAAACCTTTCTGCAAGATTTTTTACAGTCATCATGGAGTCTGGAGATGCGATGAATTTCGAAAATTGACCGTTCAAAAGAGAGGGATACCGCAAAACGACTTCAAGTATGTTATCGATGTTGCCTAGGACATAATCACGTTGGTAAGCAGTGTCCAAGAAGAAGAGCGTGTATTTTGGGTTGATGCAAAGAAATGTACCACAGGCTTTTACCTAGGGATCGGATAAGGGATAAACAATCGTTCAATGAGCCAAAAAATCCCGTGAGAACCGAATCGAATTAAAAAAAAAACTCTAGTGAAAAGAAGGAAAACACACGAGCCGCCACTGAGGGGGAGAGTATGGATCGTACAACGACCGGCAGAGACAGAAAATCAACCTTCGCAAGACTTAGAATAGTGCCCGTTATACTGAAAAATGGAAACCGTACCGTACTGGATAACGCAAGTATAAAAACATACATAAACGCCGATGTTTCGCCGAATTGGGACTTCAGGGACAAGTTCAGAAAGTGAATGTTAATGTGTTAAATGACAACGTGGAAACATTTGAAACTATGCCAATTGAAGTGAGACTTCAAAATCATAATTGTCAGACAGACGCCAAGATAGTTGAAATCACCACTAACCGTGTTACCGGAAGATTACAATCAGTTGACTGGAAACAACACGCTCGGAAATGGGACCATCTTGCATGGATTTAATTTCCAAATCTAGGACATAGATTAATGTTGATCGGTCTAGATTATCCAGATCTAAACTATTCTTTCAGAAATATACGTGGTAAACCTGGTGAACCCATTGCTAGACTAACGCTGTTAGGTTGGAATTGGACGGGTATTGGAGATGCGAACTGCGGATAAGATCAGACACTATTTAACCGAACGTATTTTGCTCGTGGACAAGAGAATCGTAATGACTTAGATAACATTTTAAGGAAGTTTTTGGAAAACGAAAATATCAAAACACCAAGCGAATGTGATGAGCGACAGGCATTGTCTAAGGTAGAGTAATCGTTTGAATTTAAGGACTGACACTACGAAGTTGGAGTACCGTGGAAGGACGATGCACCTTCGTTTCCGTACAACTACAACATGGTGTTGAGTAGATAAGAAAACACCAAAAAGAGATTAACCAAGGACCCGAGTATTGCAAACTATAGAGAAATATGTTGAAAAGGGATATGTTTCGGCAAAGGAAGAAACTACTAAAGAAAACTGGTATTTACCTCATTTGCCGACTATAAGACATGAAAAGGAAATTACAAAACAAGTATTGTATTTGATGCGTCTGCACATTTAAAAGATATTTCGATAAATGACACTTTTCATCAACAACATAATGTTTTTGATGTCTTGCTACGATTCAGAAAATACCCGGTTGCACTTGTTTGTGATATCGCGGGAATGTACTTACGGATTAAAATCGCACCAGACGACAGGATATTTACCGTCTGTGAAAACTCTAGGAGTAATATGGCAGGCAGACAATGGCATATTCACGATCAAAGCTAACCAACCTTCTGATGATTTCAACTTTACTTAACGAAACATTCTTAGCAAAGTTGCTACGTTATTCGACCCTTTGCGATTTATTGCGTCTTAAACGGTAAGAGGAACACTACTACTACAAGAGATGTGGACAGCAGGATTGGACTGGGATGACCAGTTAGACAAATCTAGAGTGGTTCTGTGAACTTAATGAACTATGTTGTATTAAAATACCGAGATGTTTGCAGGTAGACAATAACATTATTTTAACGAGTCTTCATACATTCAGCGACGCTTCTCATGAGGCTTATGGATTAGTTATATATGACAGACACGTGTATAAGAGTGGAACGATATCTACGAGATTAATAGCCGCGAAGTCGAGAGTTGCTCCGTCAACTTCAGTTAGCATTCCACGACTTGAGTTAATGGCCGTAGTATTAGAATAAAAATTAGCACGTTCAGTTAAACACGTAGTAGAAGTTCCCGAGGATTACATGACATTCTGGCAAGACAGTATGAACGTTTTGTATTGGATTAGAATCAGAAGTAGAGAGTACCAGCCTTTTGTAGCGAATCGAATCAGCGAAATTCACACTTCATCGCATCCTAAACAATGGCGACATATGCCAACAAAAGTTAACTGAGCAGATTTAGTATCTAGAGGTAGACAAATTTAACAACTACTGTCGGATTTAATTTGGTGAAATAGACCGGAATTTCTGCAAGAATTAGAAGCACAACGACCGAAAACTAATGTTCAGATAGAATACATACGTGATACCGAACTAAAGTGCCAAAAGAAAACAAACGAAAACGTAACTGATTGTACTACACTGAAAAGTAGTCACATGGACGACTCACAGTGGCAGCTAGATCCCGGGCGCTTTTCTAATTTTACAAGACTAGTTCGAGTATTCGCATGGATCAACAGATTTATTGACAATTGTAGACTGAAGCAAAACCATTGTCGTCAAGGAAGTTTATCTACCGTCGAATTTGCCCAGGCCGAACTAGAAACCAATAAAAATGCACAAAGGGAGGCATTTCCAGACGAATACAACGCTCTAATGAAGAGTAAAGATTTACAGAAAACTAACAAATTGTTAGGATTACAACCGCGAATTGATGAGAATGGGTTAATCAGATGTGATGGACGTTTAGAGTACGTCGATTTTCTACTGTTTGATGCTCGATATCCGATTATATTGGCACGAAAAAATGGGGTTACGAAGCACATAGTGAAGCGCTATCATGAACATGTTAGTGAGATATTTGCAGCATCATCGTCACGCTTTTGGATTGATTCAGGAAGAGAAGAAATAGGTGAACATGAGTGTTATTAGTGTCGTAAGAGGAAACTCAAAGTTGCCGAGCAGGTGATGGCTCAGTTACCGGAAACTCGTTTCAAAACACCGTTACATGCTTTCGCTCGTACAGCAGTTGATTTCAGAGGACCGTTCATAACAGTTCAGGGGGAGGGGAAACGACGTCAGAAAAGATACTTATGTCTTTACATGTTTTGCGTCACGTGCAGTGCATTTGGAAGTAGCATTAGGATTAGATACAGACTAATTTCTTAACTCTTTTTATCGGATGGTGAATAGGCGAGGTCTTCCTAAAGAGATTATTTAGACAACGGAACTAATTTTGTTGGAGCTAATAGGGAACTCAAAGAACTAGTGTTGCTTTTATACAATTATAAAATACAGAATTTAATTAGTAATCAAGGGATTAAGTGGCATTTTAATCCACCAATAGCCCCTCGTTTTGGTGGCATTCACGAAACTATGATCAAATCCGCAGAAAAGGCAATTTACGCAATATTAGGAAATGTAGAAATTAATGATGAGGAACTTCTAACCAGACTTGGGGTCAAGTACATTGGAATGTAATTAATTAAATGATTCAGTGGTTTAAGTTACGTTTAATTAAATTAAATGATTCAGTGGTTTAAGTTACGTTTTTGTGTTTTGGTCTGTTTTTCTAATACTATATGCAATAGGTCAACTATATTTGGTGTATGGAAATATTTGACGATTTACATGTCAGTCTGGCAGATTTTGTTTGACCTTGACCTCATTTTCACGGTTCATTGCTCAGTATTAAGTTTTTGTGTTTTGGTTTGTTTTTCTTAAACTATAAGCAATAGGTCAACTATGTTTGGTGTATGGAATGATTGTATGGTGTATATGTCTCTCTGGCAGGTATCATCTGACCTTGACCTCATTTTCATGGTTTATTGGTCAATGTTAAGTTTTCATGGTTAAGTTTGTTTCTTAGATACTATAAGCAATAGGTCAACTATATTTAGTATATGGAATTATTGTAAGGTGTATATGTCTGTCTGACAGGTATAGTCTGACCATGACCTCATTTTCATGGTTCATTGGTCAATATTAAGTTTTCATGGTTAAATTTGTTTCTTAGATACTATAAACAATAGGTCAACTATATTTAATGCAGAGATTGATTGTAAGGTGTACATGTCTGTCTGGCATGGTTCATCTGATCTTGACCTCATTTCCATGGTTCATTGGTCAATGTTATGTTTTACAGATTAGGTTTGTTTCTTAAAAACTATAAGCAATATGTCAACTAAATTTGGTGTATGGAATGATTGTACGGTGTACATATATTTCCGGTCTAGTTTATCTGACCTTGACTTCATTTTCTTCGATAATGTTAAGTTTATGTGATACTTAGATTAAAGCTTCATTTTTAGGACTTTCAACATAAAATTAATGGTCAGTAAAGCAGGCGTGTGCACTCGTGTTATGCATAAGTGGCATTCTGACCATCTATCCGACAGCGTTCATGTGTCAATATTTGCGTCTATGCTTTTATCAAGTTTTATTATTCATTTGTGAACTGTCATGACTGTGAATCTAGAGAAAAGTAGATTATCACAGAAAAAATTTGCAAAATGTGTTGTATTAATGATCCTCGTCTAACGGCCTGATTGAAGTAAGTAAAATGAGAGGAGCTTGGTACATAAAAGTTGAATTCCATAATAAAGATTTCACTAAATTTGTATAAAAAGCACTTTGCAATGTCTTTTATACCTGTTTCATTTCACATGGTACTATCTTTGTTTTCTTCGGTAGGATATCAGGTGGTTCATATATATGCCTGTTGAGAATAAAATTGCATGCAAGTTTTTCACTGAAAAATTAAAAATCTTTGTATCAGACCATACTGTCTGCAAAAAAGTTGAATGTTCTTTTGTACTCAGACTTCTTGTATCATGTCACCTGAGTATAGAAATGAGCAAAAAGAAACACATTTTTATTTTCTATAGCTTCAGTATGCATTTTTAAATGTAAAATGTGCTATGGCCTAAATTGACCCTAAATTATCTTCAGTCTTACTTGGCCTAAGACCATTTTGTTCTCATATGATATGTTATTTGTAATTTTTCTTTCCATGTAATGTACTTTAAATACATATGGAAGGATTATTTATAACAAAAAAACTTCACAAATTTAAAATTGCTGGAAAATAATACATCTTCATGTAACATGTGTAAGGCCCCCCTTCATTCAAAAACCTCTATTTTCAGGCACAGGCTCAGATAAATTTGACTTTTGAATAATGGTGATAAATCTGATACATCAAATGCGTATTTTTTTGCTTTTAATACATGATATTTTAAATATAATGGCATTTAAAAAGTATTTTATTTTGCAATTTTTGAATTTTTAAAGCCCCATTGAATGTTGATAGTTGAAATTCTTCAATTTTAATGTCAAAAGTTACACAGTTATCGTCCTTTGATTTTCCTTGTCTACAAATGTAGTCCCTAGTGTGGACACTGTGTTACTTGCTATGTTTTTTATACACCTTTCAATTTATTTCTTCATGTTGTATGCCTCGAATAGCAAGTAGGGGCATGAAATTACACTGTAAAAAAATGGGTCATGAAATTTTATAGTAAAGTTGTGATTTGGTTCAGCTGAAAAAAAGGTTAAAAATTAGTATTTTGGAGGCTGTCAACAGAATTCAAGACCCCCTTAACATAAAATTGTCCATATTTTGAGTTAGAGCTGATGAAGTTTTCTATAATTTTGATATAATTTGTCCCAAAAGTAGTACACTACATTGTAAAAATATTAATGATATTGTTGCATAGCGCATATGGGATTTTTTAATTTTCATTTATTGTCTTAAACAAATGCAGTATGAAATAACTGTGTTCTCGGGCCATGCTTGAATGTTTTCTCCTACCTAAATAAAAGTTGTTGCAATTGTGATTTTTTCTTGGAATATAATTTTAGAGTACTTAAAATATTTGTTACACGATATATATAAACTAAGGAAACAAGTCCATTCTTAATATATTATATATATATATATATTTTTTTGTAGATGATTCCCAGCTAGAAAAATGAAGCAGTCTACAAATGATAAATGTGCACTTATGATTTGTAGGAAATATAGATGTCAATTGCTTGGTAGTTGCTAGTTATGAAATAGTGGATGAATTCATAATTTTGTGTATGTTATTCGTTGTTTTTGGACAAATGAATAGCTCAAACAGCATTGTACAGTACCATGAAGTTATGTTGGGATTAAACTGGACAAGAAGCAAATAGTGCATTGAATAAATAGCAAACTAATAATTTGTTAGAAAGATCATACAACTGGATGGCTGTTAATACCTCGGATAATTATTCATTTGAAATAGCAATTTGGAATTATAAGTGTGCATATAATTGTAGTGCATCATCTGAATTAAATCGTGCCTTGGATAAATATTCATTTTAAATAGCAATTTGGAATAACAAAATTTCATAGATTCAGTGAATATTTATATTATAGTACACCTGCATTTTCTGAATATGTTGCGATGTTTACCGCCAATTGACTGCTTACTGTGCTTAAAGTCTAAATGTGTACCGATACATGTATTTATGATAATCTTAATTACAAATGCACTGTTTATAACCAAACTGGCATTTCATTCTGGTCTAGCATATTAACAATACTTCAAAGTATCATTTTATTTATATGACCATTGATCACAGCTACGTTTGCTATTAAACAAAATTCAGACAACAATAAATATTCAATTACATGTACATGTAACTATATTCATGATAGTGTAGTCTTGTATAACATAAAATAAGGAGATGTGGTTTGATTGCCAGTAAGATAACTATCAACCAGAAACCAAATGAGATAGATGTTATATGTAGCAACTTAATGTCACTGTACAGTCTTCAAGGATGAGTAAAACTGATATTGCATAAATATAGTAAGCTATTAAAGGACAGACATAAAAAAAACAAAAAACAATTCCGAACTGAAACCCAACAGCGTTGTTTATGTACAATATATATGAAAAACAAATTTGATGTTGCAACAAACAACAACCGTTGAAAATTAGCCTACCAAATTTGAGTAAGGGTGATTGTAAGTTAGATTCTTATTCTAGACTTAAAATTAGTATTTGCTACTCCTTAGTATACATGACAAAGCACGTAGCAATCAGGAAAAGAGAAAAGGAATAATATGCATAGTGTTTGCCATTGATGTAAAGCCACCTTAATTCATTGGAACAGAAAAAAAAACATGTGAATACCAGTGATAATAGAGGTCACCAGCTGGGGTCGAAGTCACATTTTAAAAAAAAAGTTCAGTTAAGGCTATACAATACCAGTAATGCTTAGATGGTAATAGTATGTCCTAATATTTTTGACCGGATTGAAGAAGTCCTTAACTTTCTTGTAGTCTGGATGGGGGCTCCTTAAACATGTTAATTTTTTGTATTCTTTAAATTTGTAGACCATTTTTCATCATCTTTGAAAAAAGTGTTAATTCAGTTAAATTCTTTTGAAAATCATTTTACTATTAAACTTTAGTTTATTAGTTATACAAGTATTCATGGATGATTTCTTTATTCTGTACATCATTCATTTCTATAATCAGTATTGTAATTTTTTTTTACAGCCGTTATTCTTTATACTTTGGCACTCCATTATTCTCTTTTTTTGTAAATAATTTGTGAAAGGAAACCCCAATAAATACAAGGCACGGGCTATGATTACCCGCAAAGAGTAACAATAAGAAATAATTATTATTACTTCCGAGACTAATTGCCGAATTGTATTTAAGGACAAGGACCTGATTTCACACGGAAATTGCAGGAAACAATAATATCGTTTAAATACAAATATTATGATTTTGATTTTGACACCATTCATAAAATATCACATTTTTTTCTGGTTCAATAATCACAATTTACATAAATCCCGCTACGGATCCGGACATGTGCCAAACTGCCCCTTTTAAATTTGATTTTACAACTTTATAAGAGAAGAAAGGTGAAGGATACCAAAGGGACATTCAAGCTCGTAAATCGAAAATAATCTGACAACGCCATGACTAAAAAGGAAAACGACAAACAACAGCACACAAAATTAAACTAGAAATCCAAAGACTGAGCAACACGAATTTGAACCCCACCAAAAACTTGTGGTGACCTCAGATGCTCCGGAAGGGTAAGCAAATCCTGCTCCAGATGTGGCTCCCGTCGTGCTGCTCATGCAAGTACAAACACGGTGATATGTCTTATTGGGTAGGTCACATATATGTGAAACAGATATTCCATAACGGTCAACCAACTCGTGATGGCGTCCGTAAAATTTATAAGATACGCGATTAATTCCTGATTATTATTGAATTTTGAACATTTACTCATTAGCAACATTCGATTCACAAATGTACGATGCATTTAAACTTTTTTTAGTTAATAGTGATTTTTAGATGCACCTTAATATCACCCTTCCAGTCTTAGTAGGTCGTAAAAGTTCAAGTAGCCCGGCATCCTGGTCAACCTCCTTTTTGCGTTGGTACGAATCAAATCGATATGTAACCGAATTTATGTGACAATTTAAAAAATTCCAAACAAGGTAAAATTGTCCGTTCGCTGTTTACATGTAACAGGATGAATAATATATCGGTATAAGCTAGTTCTGCATTTCTATGGGTTACACGTCAGTATGACAGCAACCGAACGACAAAAAAAAAACAACCAAAAGACATCTTGAGAGCAGCATGGAGTATTCAACAAAAGACCGGAGTATATAGACATGATAGAATATAGCAAGCTCTTAATCGTCCAAAGTTTATAAAAAAAAAAATGAAAACAACATGTTAATAATTTCATGTGTATTAATGTCATTGTCAAATTGTGAACAAGTCAAACAAAAACAATCAAAAATCTGAGACGATGGTCAGTTTCTTTCTTTGAAACAGGTTTACGTCTATCAAAATCACTCACAAGAGTGTTTGTGTCAAACATATAAATTATATAAGTGTGACTTGGATGGAGAGTATTCTCATTGGCACTCATACCACATCTTCTTATATCTATATATTTGTATCCATCAAAGCACGGTATATTAAAAATAAGGAGATGTGGTATGATTGCCAATGAGACACCTATCCACCTAAGTTCATAGGAAGTGGTTGTAAATGAATAAATAAATTGAGAAAACAATTCACCAAACACAAATATGACATACATGAACCAACAACAACCATCGAACTACAGGCTGGGTAAAACATGTTTGAAGGCGCCAACCCCCCCCCCCCCCCCCCCTCCCCCCTCTTTTTTTTATCTAGGGCAGTGGTGTAACAGTACAACATAAGAACAAAATATAAAAATCAGTTAAAAAAATCTTAACTCATCAGATCAATACAAAGTAGAAAAACATCTAACAAAAACACAGACTGGACGTGGCATGGTATTTATACATCCCCTACAAAGTCAGATCTGAGAGTACTCGATTTAATGACAGCTAATTCAAAGCCAAAAACAACTAATAACAAAAAAAACCAATGTATATAGGACTAAAATGATCACGCGTGTTGAAATCATGGACAGGTCTACTTTCTTATTCATAACAAATTACTTTTTTATTTGTGTGTGTAAAAAAGGGGGTTCCTTTATCTCAGACACTTGATTTTTTATCAACAGGATAAAATGACCTGAGACATTACACTGATGCACTGGCTGGGTTAAGCCAGTGATTGGACACATACGAACCTTTGCAAGCACACTTTTGAGGGGTCCTAAAATGATATGTTGCAGGGCACTCACTGCCCACATAATACTTTGACGGATGACGGTTAAAATATTTGCTCTTCATCACGGTTGACTTACTTTGCAAAACCTCATTTTTATTGTTCTTGATCACTGGACATTACAAAAAACCACAATGATCGAATTCGTTCCAGTCAATTTTTAATATGAATATTGTGGATGGTTAAAAGTTAATTTTATCGATTGAAGAAAAATAGTAGAAAACTTAAGATTAAAATGAATGACAAATACATTCAATCTGGCTAGTTCTTTTTCTTTCTCTCGGACCAAATTTTTTTTCAGAAAAAAAACATATTCCCCTTTAATTGTCGGTCCCTATGAACAAACTACACGAGGAGCTATATGAGCAAACGGGACCATTTCTTATTTGAATGATTAAATTTGTTCAAGATATAATAAATACATGTACATGTATATCTTAAGATTAATAAAGTTGAATATTGACAACTAGAAACCTAAAATAACCAGTAAAATGCAATATATTGTATAATAAAAAAAATGTCATTCAAGTATTTCATACCGATTAAAAACGCTTTAATTTTAGGGGTACAATGTACGTCTAAACACTGATCAGGACCTCCTGAGTGTACTCGGGACTCAAAAAGAGCACCGAGGACTCTTTATAGTAATCGTATATGCACACAGGACGGATATATGTATTCGTTGCACGCTGTTTATTTTAGTGGTAAATTTTGGTAGATTTTGAAAACGCGGAACTTCGAGAGATATTTATTATATTAATAAAATAATGAGAACACGTGTCACTGATTACACAACTACTCAGCCGTGAATTATCTAATCAACAAAATTGATTGGATTATCCTTATTGTTTATGAATATCATGTTGTTAGAACAGTGTTTTGAATAAAGTTGACTTATACATGTTATACGATGTTTTTAAGTTATTTCGGAATTGTTTCATGTTACATGTATTAAATTTACTTTATGCGTAGTGCATTTTTACGATTATGAAGAAAAAAAAATCCCTTTCAATGCATTTTAATACAGTTTCTCTTATGATCGTGACCTGTTATATATTTCTTGCATGAAGACATATTTTTCGTATCACACTGCACGGAGTGTGATACAAAAAACTTAATTTTGATCATTAGAAAAATACCTAAATATGATAAATGACAGAAACTGAGAGGAAAACGGAGATAAATTAATATTTCGGAATTTCAGAATTTTTGTATTCAGCCATGCTGGATCTACGCGATCACTCTGGTTTTGGAGATGGTGCAGAATACTAAGTTGAAGACATATCATGAAACTAATTATGTGTTTTTATGACATGCAGAAACTTTCTACACCATTTTAATCATCAACTGCAAACTTTTGACATGTTATTTGCCCTTAAGTTAAGAAAAGATTGGTCGAATAGTGACTTTATAATTACTTGCATATATAGTTCCTTTCTAAATCAAAATTTATGATGATTTACTATTTATGAATTATTTTGAAAAAGTATTTGTACATCAATTGAATCAGTTGATAAGAATTTTGAAAGTATTAAATTAGTATCTTGTGCTTGTGTAAATTATTGTTCAATGACATTTAGGTCAACATGTGTATTAATATATCTAAGTTGTTTACCACACTTTTTTGAAATGGTATTACTTTAATTCTTTCCATAGGCAAGTAAGAGTCAGAATGATTATTAACTGTCATGATTTTCAAATAAGCATTAAATAGAAACAACCCCAGGCCTAATTCAAAACAGTTAATTTCTCATGACCTGTTACATAATTAAATAGACACAATTTATTACACACCTAACTGAATACACACATTCTTGACCACTATAGTAAACCTACAAATGTATTAAAATATTCTGTTAATTTTGCTAGCTAGTTGAATGAT